AGGCAAATATGGCGACGAAGGCAGCGCATTATTAAATTGTTTCCTTTAACCTGAAAAGCCGGTAGTGGTTTCTCGTTCCGATTGCATACCAGAAATAATTAATTATCTCTAGTTTGTTGTGCTCCTGCAACACGTTTGTTTAGTTCATGGTGTTCAGTGCCTGGTGTGATCAGAAAATTGTGATAAAATAACAGTGTAATAAAAATTCAAACCAGACATTCCACATAGGGAACTTCAAACTTTTGTGCTTGTCGTACTCCTCTATTATTAATTATTTTAAGGTAAGAACTAGAAGTATTTATCAAGATATTACACCTAAATGAGTAAAAAGCCTTCACTGCCAGTCTGCATAGTACTTTATAATGGTTACTTACAATAATCAAAAGATAGGTATTAAAGGGTAGTTATTAACATTTTATTGTAGCATACCTTTTACATGCTCTGTTCCAAATTGTCACGAGAATTATAGAGGGGATCCCAAGGTTTCTGCTTTTATATTCCTCAAAAATTACGACCTTCGTAAAAAATGGTTGACAGCTATTGAAAGAGATAATTTCACTCCTACTTAGTGGTTCTCGGGTAAGAAGTGCATTAAATATGCCTCAAAAAGGCCAAAGGCCAAAGCATCTGTTACCCTAGTGAGGATGTAGTTATGGCTACTGCTTACACTTACGTTACTATAAGTAAAATATTGGGAGAATAGTCAAGCTTTTTACATCAAAAAGATGAGAGAAAGATATTGACAACATTCATACATACATAAACGGGATTTGGTTTAAGAATTTAATACTCATTTCCAACTACAGCCTATTGCTGCCTTCCCGTTACCCTACGCCACACATCTCGATTTAGAGCGTCATCAGCTTCTAGGTTACGAGCTTCCATTGCTTCCGTAACCGTTCCGTTCCAGGATTTTCTAGGTCTACCTCTCTTTCTTCTGCCCTGGGGAGCCCAAACTCTTTTGGCCACCTGTTCTCCGGCATACGCAGAACATGTCCAAACCATTTTAAGCTGGATTTTTCGATTCGATCCAGTACTGTCTCCTCCGATGCATTCATGATACGCCTGACCTCGATGTTTGTCTTTTTTTCCATCCTAGATATACCTGCACTTCTTCTAAGGTAGTCCATTTCAACAACTTGGATTTTGCGCTTCGCGTCTGCACTCAGAGTCCACAGCTCTGAACCATAGCAAAGAACTGACTCCACCAATGTTCTTCCAAGTCTCTTTTTAGTTTTTGCAGATAAGTTTCGGTCCCACCAGAGGCTGTTAAGACATCCAATAACTTGTTTGCTCTTCTGAATTCGGGTTTGTATTTCTTCTTTGCCCAAACCCTCGTTGTTGATAGTAGCACCCAGGTATTTAAATTTGTCTACTTGTTGAATCTGGACGTTATCATTAATGAAGACTTCAAAACAAGTGTTGGAATTGACAGCTAAGTATTCGGTCTTCTTTAGACTAACCTGAAGTCCCCATTTGTTGTATACTTGATAAAGCCTCTTAGTCATGAACTCTAGATCGTATGAGTCCTGCGCAATCACGACCTGATCGTCTGCAAAGCTCAGGGTAAATAGTGTGTTGTCCCCAATGGGTATTCCCATACCTTGATATTTCGTCTTCCATTCCCTAAGGGCTAATTCGACGTAAGCGTTGAAGATCAGAGGAGATAAGCTGCATCCTTGTCGCAACCCTTTTGTGGTGTTAATTGGATTAGATAGCCTGTGTCCTATCTTAACGTACGATTCATTTTCTTTATATAGCTATTTTATTATCTTAAGCAAAGGTCTATCTACTTCTAAGATATTCAATACTTCCCATATCTTGCTGCGGGGAATAGAGTCGTACGCTTTCTCCAAATCAATAAATGCTAGATGGACTTCTTGATCTACTGCTATCTTTTTTTCCATCACCTGCTGCAGGACAAAAAGGTTATCTGTGAAAGATTTCCCCGGTGTGAATCCGCTTTGGTCTTCCGAGATTTGTCACCAATACTGTCCCTGAGCCTACCCTGTAGCACCTTTCCAAAAAGTCTGCTGACCGAACTGTTAATGCTCTATAACAAGTGGGGTCGTTACGATTTCCCTTTTTAAAGATGGACAGTATGTGAGCCACTCGCCATTCTCGGGGTAGTTTACTTTGCAGGCAGCACTGGTTAAATAGCTCTACCAGACGCCAGCGCAGTCTTTGGGTTCCACACTTTAACAATTCGGCTACAATATTACCAGGAACTGGTGACCGTCCATTTTTCATTCTTTTGAGACTTTGATGTACTTCTCTTTCGCTTATCATTAAAGTGCCTTCAAGGTTGTTCTCATCTTCTACTGCTTGGAATTCTGGTCGGTTTTCTGTCAGTAATTCTGCATAGTAGTTGCGCCATTTTTCTATATCCATTCTATTCAAGAGCTTGTCCGTTTGATTGGTTTTCATTTGTCGGATTGTTCTCCATACCTCAGTACTCCGTGCGCCCCCTATTAGGCTTTCCACTTGCTGGCACCTTCTTTCCCAAATATCTGTTTTTCCTACCTTAATGGCGGCTCGTACCTCTCTATTTTTTTGCTTGTAATGACTCCAGTTCCATCTGTTCGGTCTGAGAGCCATCTTTGATAGAATTTTTGTTTGTCATTGATTAAGGCCTTTGTGCTGTCAGTTATCCAAGCTGGTTCATCTTTTTTTTTCTGCATGTTCTGTTCACCTAAAACTTCGAAAGCTACTTTTTTAATTAGGGTTTTTAGGTTGGTATACTCTAGTTCTACATCGTTACAGGCTTTCACTTCCTCTAGGGCTACATCTAATCTTCTCTGGTACAACCATTTAATACTGGCATCGTGTAGTAAATGAAGCTTGTACTTAATACGATCAGATTCTTCAAATTTCTAGTTCTTGTGATGTTGTGTATTCTATACTTTTGGCTCTGCTCTGGAAAGGTACTACTAATTGTGCAACGACCAGACGGTGGTCGGATCCACAATTTGCTCCTCTCTTAACTCTGCAGTCTTTGAATTTGAGTTTCGATATTTGTTTAGCAATCATATAATCAATTATAGATTTTTGTTGCAGAGAGGGCCTTTCTCGGGTATATCGATGAATTAATTTGTGTGGGAAGAAGCCGTTAAGGTATACGTAATCCATTCAGTTCGCAAAAGTCAATTAACCTCTCTCCAGAATCATTAAGGACGTCCTCACCGTGTTTTCCAACCACTTTACTATCTTCTTTCTTACCAATTCTTGCGTTAAGGTCTCCCATGATTAAGACTTCCTGGCTCGGTTTTATTTCTGTGAGGACTTTTGAGAGTGCAGCATAATAAGAGTCTTTTTCCGCTTGGTTTGAATCATCTGTGGGCGCATAAGTACCTATTATTACGGTTTCCAATCCGAAAATGGTCAAGGTGACAGTTACTATTCTTTCGTTGACAGCGTTGTAATTCTTGTAAAATTTAAATAATTTAAACAAAGCATCTGGGTGGTCGAAGGCTGGTAACGGATCTCAAGGAGATACTCCAATGTCGAGTAGGAGTATTTCATCAAAAACTGAGAAATGTCCACTGTTTCATAAGCTTTGCCAGCAAGTCCTATTTCCTACGTCCTCGAAGGCTCATGAGAGCCGCGTGACCACTGGTAATGTATGGCATCCAATGGATGGGTGTTATGCAGCTAACAGGAATAGGGCGAAGGCGAGATTCCGGCGCCTCAAAACCGGTTCTCTCGGCTAAGGATGGGCATCCCTACAGAAAGGCCCCTGGTCCTCCAGGTTGGGGGTTGAGGCAACGGGCTAGCGACCTGTTACTCGGAAAAAAACTTAATTGCTCAAAGAACCCTAAACACGCCTCGGACAACATTCACATTTGAAAATATAAATGGCCTGGATGTAAGTCTTTTTTTAGGTTGCACAATTGCCCCTCATATACGTCAGAATTTATTAATAAATCCATCTTGTTCAGATTATCCAATATTTTATTGAAGAACTATGCAAAAAAAAGGAATGACGTTATAAAAAGGTATTTTTTTCTATATAAAATCTTGAAATACATATTATATTTTTTAGTTATCCTCACCTATTATAGTTTAAATTTACTCCCATTTGTGTAATGCTGCAAAACATAGAAAAAATATTCCATATTTTTTTACCCAAGCCAGTGGAGTTGTAATCTCATAGTAATTCCAAGAGCATTTACCAAGGCTTTTACTAAGACAAGTAACTTCCTATACTGTCCATAATAGTATATTTATCAAACGTGCAGTAAATTCTAAACTATGGTAGGTAAGTGTTTGCAATTGAATATTTAGTTTATATTGCTATTTTCTGTTATATATTTCTGGTTATTTCTTTTTCAGATGATTTTGAACACCCTATATATGCTACCTCAAGTTTGAATATTTATACACTAGTACACTGCCTACCTATTTTCTGAGAAAGCAGACCTTTTTATCAAAAGTAACTAACTTTCATAAAAGTAATAATACAAAAAATTCCATACTTATGTGGAGAGCTTTAGACTCCCTGTATATTATAAAAATTAGTGAAATATTACGTAATCTAACCCGACATTTGTGTGAAAAATGTCTATTTGGAAATAAAACACGTTTTAAAATACGCGCCAAATAAAGCACTTCTAACTCCGCCATATTGGAAAAGGTTGAATAGCATGGTGAGCCGGCCGTGTTGCCGCTTTTCAACATGCGTTGCCGCTTTTCAACAAGGTGTGACGTATTAAAAATAAAGTGCGGATTTTTATTCTGGGCTTTTTTGTTTTTATTTATTTTCTTAAGAACGGACTTAGCAGAAAATTCTAAAATTAATTGCTTTATTCAATTATGCTAATTCCAAAATATAGTAAAAGACCCCATTATAACAACTCGTTCGTTCAAATTTTATGAATCCGTCCTGGCCACGATTCAATTGAACGAACTGTATTCTAAGCGGTCAATCGAATATATCACGACTCAGTTTTAATACTCGTTCAGTTAAACGACTCGTTCAATCAACTATAACCTAACCCACCTCTAACACGGACGCATCTGCATATTGAATGTAATGTAACTATGCTAAAGAGCGCGAACGACGCGTCGGGCCACCCTATGCTTGAGCTATTATCCAATAAAAATATAAGCGGTTTAATTTGCATAAGCTGCCGAGAAGCGCGCCTTGTATATAAAGGAAAAAAACTGCGGCTGCTGTGTCAGTATAGTGTGCACTATTAAACAGGGTTTATGTGATATAATGTAAATTATAAGGTAAGAAGCAAACCTATTTAAGATCGTTTCTAACATCAGATCAATTTTGTGTTTATTAAAATTAGTTCTACTGTACAGGGTGGGTCAAATTCGACGCTTTTAAATGAAAACACCCTTTTCTATAGGAGATAGACAAAAACTAATATCGGTGTCTGAAGTTCAATTTTTGTCAAAAACATGATGGTGAAAACCGCATATCGATATCTGTTACCGTTTCGGAGTTACGGGGTGTTTTTCAAAAATATGCATTTTTAACAAATCGCTGTAACTTTTTTGCTATGGAAAATTTTGTATTTTTATGAAAACATTTCCAAAGCATCTTTTTACGTAGAATTTAATGGTTTAAGTATAATTTTTTTAAAATTAATAATTTAAGAATTATCAACAGAAAGACCAAATAAGTAAGACAGTATAAGACCAAATTTTTAAATATAACTTTACATGCTTACATTATATTGTTTACTTTCTATTAGTAATTACAATATGAACCAAAAAATATTAATTACTATCAATAAATACATAAAAACTAATCTATTTAAGTCCATGAAAATAACTATATAGTTAGCATATGCATAAACAACATTCTTGTTATTAGGATCAAATTTATTTGAGCTTTTTTTCATTGTTTTGATTAATATCCCTGTTAGTCCTGACTGGTAAAACCACCTGAAGCGATGTCATCCAAATCTATATATGTATCATAACATAACTTATTCTTTTAAATAATTATCCTTCGTTTGGTCTGATGATAATATATTGTAGATTTATCTAAACTTCTTGCTGCAAAATGTTGAAAACTAAACTACACTAAACATTTTAGGGAATGATTACGTAGAGATTTCACTTACACTTAGCATCCTTTTTAAAAGATATGTATGGTAGTTTGCAAGTAAGGTCTTTGTCTTGTTCTAGATTAGATTTCTAGAGGTTGATTTCGGCCTGACCCACTGCGACCTTCTCAGATCTATTGTGGTCTTGTCTTGTTCTATAATGAAGTTTTATGTACCAGTAGGTTATACTACAAATAAGATTGTTAAAAATATTCACTGGAGCATAAATAAATTCAATCCACTACCTAACGTGTATTGAATATCGACGATGTTAGAAAACACATCAAATGGCGGCCTTTTCGTGTAATACACATTTCTTCACTAAAGATATCGACGCCTATACATTATTAACTAAAAATTTGTAGCATTTTAGTGGCTTTATAATTATTTTAAAATATGTGGATAAATATTTTTATTCTGAAATTGACAGCTTCTCAACATTTGACATGACAAATTCAGACAAATGTGACATTTAAACAGTCCTACCACTACAGTTTTTCCAGAAATACCCCAAAAATCCGCCATTTTGGCGCCAATAACATTGAACAAACCAATTGCGGTACTTTATATATCTAGGGACTTTAATAGGAGTCATATTGACATCAAAATCAAATTTCTCATACCCAATAACTTCCAGACACCAATTTTTATCCAAATATTGACGTTACTTCAGAAATTATTTGGAAAAAATTGAAATAAAAATGAAATTTCTACGCCCTGTATCTCCGAAACTAAGCATTTTAGGACATACATTTATACGAACTTAAATCTGCAGAATATGCCGCCGAAGTTTCCGGAATACAGTTCGGACCACCCGGTATTGTGTTATGTTTTCCCATTCTTCTTCAAGGACCAAGAGAGTATGCATAATTTCGGCCATTTTCATCAATAATTTTTGCACAATCTTTAACACTAAAAACCATATTCAATCGTACACAATAATAGTCACCAAAGACACCTCGTCATTATGAAGAATAATATCAAAAAGTAACGATAATTGAAAAAAAAATGCAAAATGTTTATTGCAAGTTTTTTTTGCTCTTATAAATTAACCACGACATGTATGTGTTGACAAGAGTAAAAAAATATATTCAGGAAGACATAAAAATAATGTTTTAGAAAAATTTGCTCACGAAATTATTGCACAGGGTGTTTTAAAGATAGGATAAAAAACAACCCCTCGATTAACCCTATCATACTTGTTAACGAAATTTAAAGAAAAATCTTATCAAACACACGCAAAAAAATTAATTTGGATAGTTTAGTTTGTTTAGAAACTTTTTTATCTCTTGTGTTTCTTTGATAAAACTCACCGATTTGAAATTAAAAAATAAAATGTAAATCTTTACATGTCAGGACAAAACACATTTTTAGATTAAGAATCTTAGAAAGAAAATAACGATAATAATAATGATCTAGATAATAACGTATTGCGGTAGAGTAATGTCAAATAAAATAATATTAGAAACATCCTAAAAGTAACAGCGGCCGACTAGATTTTTCCTAAAAAATTACAGCAGCCCACTAGATTCTTTATCAGAAAATGTTTTTTGTCCTGACATGTAATGCTTTACATTTTATTTTTTAATTTCAAATCGGTGAGTTTTATTAAAAAAACACAAGAGATAAAAAGTTTCTAAACAAACTAAACTATCCAAATTAATTTTGCATGTGTTTGATAAGATTTTTCTTTAAATTTCGTTAACCAGAATGATAGGGGTAGTTTATTTCAACCCCTTCCACTCATTTTAAAAAAGTAAAAAAATTACCAGAAAGGGTGTTTTCATAACAGTAATGCTTCCATAAAATTTCATTAGTCTATCTCTTTTCGTTTTCAAGATAAAAAATAAGAACATTATTTTTCCGCCATCTTTGTACCGCGATATCTCCCTAATGGTTGACTTTTGACTCAACGTTTATGAAGCAAACTACCCTTTATTTTGAACAAGGAATCACCCCCTGAAGTTTTTCGCATTTTTTTGAAACACCCTGTATACAGTTTGCTTAAAAAATCAAGGAAATAGAGCTAAAATGAACTAACACGAAAAAAATTTCCGGTATTGTTTTCCTAGACAAAATTTTCTATTTTTTATTACCTTTATACAGGGTGTTTCAAAAAACATGTGCCATCACTCGTGGGGAGATTCTTCACGTAAAAATAAGATTTATTTTTCATAAAAACATAGGTCCGATTCTGCTTTGTTTCGTAGCTACAGGGTATTAAGTCTTAATAATCTTTCGATTTATTATAATTTCCTTCTATGCATTTTTAGTGGTTTGAATGAAATTTTGAGGGTAAAAGTTACTATAAGTACTACATATTTTAATGCTAAAAAAGGGTCGATTAATTCATCAGAGACGTATATATGGGTTATCACTGGAATATTTTTCAAAAAAAAAACATGTGCGCCACTGACTTTTTTTCTTTTGATATCAGAATTGTAGAGGCCGTTTAATGCCCATTGAAAGTTACCTCTCAATGTTTTATCGAATTCGGTCTCCTTGATGAGATAAACACAATTTTATTAATCACAATTAATAAAATTAAAATAAAAATAATAAATTATATATTTTACCTAATTTATTATTAAATATTATTACTATTAAGGCTATTAGTTATTATTACTATTAGTCCAACTTATTCTAATTTTAAAAATTACCAAATATCGAATTTTAAAAATTTTTAACATCTTGTAACTCTAAAACTATACATTTCCATACCCATGTTTATAGGAACTTATTTTCATATTTTTTGATGAAGAATCAATGAGTACTTATTTAAAGCTTTCTTAAGTTAATGATATTATTTTTTTAAGGTTGCTATTAGACTTGGATCAAAGCATATTAATAAAATTGCGTGTATCTACTCAAAGAGGCCGAAATCGACAAAATATCAAGAGACAACTTTTAATCGGCATTAAACTGATTACACTATTTCCCTAACAAGAGAAAAAAAAGTCACTGGCGTACATGCATTTTTTAGAAAAATATTCTAGTAATAACCTATTTGCACGTCCCTGGTGAATATGTCGACATTTTTTAGCTTTAAAATATGTCGCATTTATAGTAACTTCTAAAATTTCATTCGAAAGGCTAAAAGTATTTGGAAGGAAATTATAGTAAATCGAAAAAATATTAAGACTTTTACACCCTGTAGCTACGAAACAAAGAGGAATCGGACCTATGTTGATATGAAAAATTAATCGTGAATTTTTACGTGAGGAATCTCCCCGCGGGAGATTGCAAATGTTTTTTGAAACACCTTGTATAAATATACCGTACAATGGAAAAAAATGGCGTCAAAATGGTTAGAGTAAATGATCGGCTAATCGATGATGATTTTGGAGAGGTCATTCTCTAGACGACAGTTTTTACAAATTGACAGAAAGCCTATCTAAATATAAACCATTATTTATTGTTTTACAGAATGTTCCAGAAAACGACAATAATCTCTACGCTATTGGCCCTGGCCGTAGCATTGCCAAATCCAGACACAAATGCAACGCCAAAAGATGGCGAATCCCTCATAGTTACAACACCCTTAGGTCAAATTCAAGGTTCTGTGATTCAGTCTAGGCTAGGAAAGCACATTTACTCGTTTAGAGGCATACGATATGCCTTAGCTCCAGTACAGGAACTTAGATTTCAGGTAGTTACTTAATCAAAATAAAAAAAACTTAAGCTACACAGTGAAATATACTAGGTATTTCCGTTTTACAATGTTTATTACTAACCGTATTCTAAGTACATGTATAGTCCGTCTAAAAAGTATCCGGGAATAAAAGAAAGCAAAATTACGATTTTGCGATATAATCGATATATTATAACAAATTATTGATATATTATAACAAATTATTAATTTTATTTACTTATACAACCTCCATTTAACTCCAAACACTTAACTAAACGTCCAGGTACACCCAAAACTAGGTCCACAGCATAATGTTCAGTGGCGGTAGTCGAGGCCTATAAAACTGACCGAATCAAATCTTGTTTATTTCGTGGAGCTGCTCGTTCCGCTTCAATCTTCATTAGTCTCCTATGTTTTCAATGGGACTAAGGTCTGGTGGAGCTGCTGGCTATGGAATTGTTGCCAAATGGTGTTCTTGCATCCAAGCTTGAGTACAGGCAGACGTATGACATCTTGCATTATCCTGCTGAAAACGCCATCCCTCTGGATATAAAACATGAGCCGTTTCAAGAAGAAAACTATTTAAAATATTACAATATTGTGCACTATTAACAGTTCCATCAACTATACAGGGTGAGTTTCCTACGATGTTCTCTATGGGTATCTCGGCAACTACTGGAGATAGAGAGTCGGTTAAATGGGGAAAGAATTGCAGTTTTGTGGGATCATAAATATGCGCCTTTCAGATTTTTGAAAAAGTTCATGGCTTACTAGATATTTCGAAAAAAAAAATTTCGGCTATTTTAAAAATTGTCCCTAATTCCATTATAAGCTATTTTAGGCAAAAAGTTTTCAGATAAAAGTTGTGGATAATCACATCCTTAATGAGACTGTGTCCTCCTTTTTTTTCTGAAACCTGTCATTTTTGATATATAACACACACATATGTTTTTTTAAATGGAAACCATAGTTGGCCATGACTTCATAAAAAGCGCTATTTTTTAAGCTTTTCAGCTATATAAGCTATAATATGTTTTCTTCGAAAAATTACTGACTTATAGCTAATTCTTATCATTTTTAAACAATTTCACTTAGTTAGCCATGGAAACAAGTTCAATCGTCTTTGCTCTCATAAATGTGAAGCTGTCACATCCAAACTTTCAAAATTATAATAAACAAAAATTGTAAATATGAATTTTTCAAATGAAGAAAAGCGTGTAGGATTATTGGTTCAACTTTTCTTGACCATACATTTTCGAGGATACGTTGACCGGTGAATGTTACGTTTTTTAGAGAACGGTTTTCAAGACATGTTAAAAAAGTTAAATTTAGTTATAGCTAATTCTTATCTTTCTTGACTAATTTCACTTAGATTGATTGCATGGTATTCTTATTCTGTTATGATTAATAACTTATAAAAAGTCAGAATATATTACTAAACGGTTCTTTAGAATTTACATTACAAAAACTAAAACTTAAAACTAAACTAAAAAATATAATATCACTACACTACATACACTTTAAGTTATTTTAGAAAATGCAGATAAAAAAATCGTGGGTGTTTGGGAGCTTTATTGTTGAGTTCGCGACTTTATTGTTGACAATAAAGTCGCGAAACTTCGCAAAAACATTGTTTCCTTTCAAGCCTTCCCAAACACCCACGATTTTTTTTTCTGCATATTAACTACTGGGAACTAACAATAATCATAATTTTAGAAAATGTTCAAAAAATCCGCCATTGTTTTGAGTTTAATAAATAAGAATTAAACTTTTCTCGTACCGCCGCGCCACTTCGAGTGCCTCTCTTTATTCATAAGTTCTTTTGTAAACCTTATTGTTACTATACCGCATAAAAAATGCTAAAATGGATAGATCAGGATCATCTCTTCCTATCCCTGCCTTTGTATAATTATGATATAAATAATTTTTAACATTTCTTTCATTATGGGGGGTGGGGGGTGGTGTGTCATAGTGAAAGTCATGTTGGGACCACTCTATTGATGCACGAGTATCTACACGCTTTTCTTCATTTGAAAAATTCATATTTACAATTTTTGTCTCTTTTAATTTACAAATTTTGGATGTGACACCTTCACATTTATGAGAGCAAAGACGATTGAACTTGTTTCCATGGCTAACTAAGTAAAATTGTTTAAAAATGATGAGAATTGGCTATAACTCAGTAATTTTTCGAAGAAAAGATATTATCGCTTACATCGCTGAAAAGCTTAAAAAATGGTGCTTTTTATGAAGTCATGGCCAACTATGGTTTCCATTTAAAAAAACATATGTTTGTGTCATATGTCAAAAATGACAGGCTTTAGGAATAAAAGAAGGACACAATCTCATTAAGGATGTGATTATCTACAACTTTTATCTGAAAACTTTTTGTCTAAAATAGCTTATAATGGAATTAGGGACAATTTTTAAAATAGCAGAAATTTGTTTTTTTCGAAATATCTAGTAAGCCATGAACTTTTTCAAAAAACTGAAAGGCGCATATTTATCATCCCACAAAACTGCAATTCTTTCCCCATTTAACCGACTCTCTATCTCCAGTAGTTTCCGAGATACCCATAGAGAACATCGTAGGAAACTCACCCTGTATACAGAGGTGTAGCACCACGCTGAGATATTACTCCCCAAACCATTATATTAGTGCGAAATTTTGAAACTTGAACGGTAACATTTTCTTTTGATAGGATTTTTAGGTGGTTTCCACCAAGCTTGAAACAACTTTCGTCAGAAATAAAAACATTATTACAATTATCTTCTTGAAAACGTTGACAAAAATCAATTTTTCGCTGCATTTGTAGAGGTGTTATTGCAGAGATTTTTTTTGGCTTCTTTGATATATAGCCTTGTCTTTTCAGTGATATGCGGACGGTTTTTGGACACACTTTTAATTTTCGCTGACTTCCAAATCTGTTAGCCAATTTGCGAAACCATAGGCGCGGATTCTGTCGTCCTAATGCCACATGCCACCAGGCGCGTGGCAAACGCACCAGCGGACCCCGCGTGGCGGGGGGCCCCGTGTAGATTAGGGGTCCCCGCACCTCATCCTTCAAAAACAATTATCAAACAAACCGAAAAGTGAAATTACATTTAGGCACACAATCCTTTTTTCAGCAATAATTAGGCTGATATAAAACAATTATTTTACACTACATTATTCTCTATAAGTATAATAATAATAATTATTGTACGAGTTAATTTGGAATTTGGTTTAGTTGTGAATATGTTTAGGCGATACAACACACAGCGATTATCATGTTTTCACGGCGTTTTTGATTAAAAGTATCATATCGGTAGACTTTTTCCATAAGCCCACTTATTTAAAATGACTAATGACTCTGTGAGCAATATTAGCGAAATAATAAGAAATTTTTTTGACACGGTTCAGAGTCTTTATATATTTTTCAGTGAAAGTCTACCCCGTTGGCAAAGCCTAAACTGTGAAATAAAAAATAGTAAAACTGTTGGTTTAACTTTAAAAAAATTATGTCCAACTAGATGGTCGTCAAGAGCCGAAGGCATACCATCGATAAAAACTAATTTTTTGTCCGTCGTCAAGTGTTTATCAAATTTAACGTTAATACTTAAAAAAACGTACTGATAGAGAAGAGGCCAAGATGTTACAAGATAAAATAGAAAAATTCGAATTTATCTTCTTACTAAATTTCCAAGGTACAATATTGGAAAATACTAACTTGCTTTCAAAATGCTTACGAAAAATTATATTGACATAGGACTGGCCACAGATCTAATATCAGGAGTTCTTGTTAAAATAGAAAATCTTAGGGACAATTTTGAAAGTGTGTATGAGCTATCTATATCAATTGCGAAATCTTGGAATATTGAACCTCAGTTTAAAAACAAAAAAGTTCGTAGAGTCAAAACTTTTTTTGACGAAATATCAGCTGATAAGCCCATTGAAAATCATAAAAATCGTTTAAAAATCACAGTTTTTTATGCTTGTTTGGATATAATAATAACTCAGTTTAGAATCAGGTATGACGCATTTCAAAATATTTATTCAAAATTTGAAATTTTAAACCCACAAACATTGTTAAAATCCCAGGAATCTGATATCTTAGCTAATGCCAAAGTATTAGTAGGCAAACATCCTAACGACCTAACACAAAATCTAGCATCGGAGCTAATTCAAGCAAAAAATTTACTTTATGAAAAAATCAAAAATATTCACAGTATTAGAAAGTTTTCTGAGTTTATTTTTGAAAAAAAAAACAATTACTGATTAGCAGTATACCTGAGATTTGCACTGTATTCCAGTTGTTTCTCGTTCTCCCTATAACATCCGCTGAACCAGAAAGAACTTTTTCTAAGCTGAAAATAATAAAAAGTTTTGCGAGGTCTACTATATCCACAGACTATATCCCAAAATCGCCTAAGCTCACTAGCCATAATATCAGTTGAGAATAATCGAGCAAAAGAGGTAGATTTGGACAGCCTCGTAAACAAGTTCCTTTTGTTAAAGTCCAGGAAAAAGGAATAGACTTTCTAATATACCATAGGGTACTTCATAAATATTTAAAATTTCTTGTTCACATTTGTGTTTTAGTTATTAGTATAGTTAAATGTTGAGTTGTTTTTTTTTCTAATAAAACTTTGATTAATTAGAAGCATAAATGTTTGTTTTCTAGTTTAAGTATTTTAAGAGTACTATACTAATAAATAAATAAATGTTGAAACAATTATCAAAATATAAAAAAATATCACATTGTGGCTCTTGTTAAAAAATATGTTTCAAGCAGATATCACAATAATGATGTATTTGAAGGAATTTTTGAGTATACTCAGGAGGGTCCCCTAAGAAAATTTACGGGGGGGGGGGGCGCGGGAATTTGCCACGCTACTGCATGCCACTAAAGCGTTTAAATTGTTTTCGCGAATCTTACGCGGTCTTCCTGAAACTGGTCCATGCTTCATATGTGTGCCATTTTTTTATCCTCTTTATTGTCTCATATTCTGGACTTTTTCCGAACTTAGTCAATTGCACTCATTTTTTAACGTTTCGAACACCTTTCCTATACAAATATTCCACCATTTCTTTTTTTTTACTTGCAACATTATTTCTCAAATCTTAAGCCGGTTTACAATCAACAATATTTGACAGATAGTGTTGCCATGCGATTGTGGCCATAACCTACTATCGGCACAACCTACATGATAGGATGGATTATTGTTGTCTTAAAGGTGCGTATTCACTATCCGAACGAACGGTTCGGATAGTGAATACCATTCGGTAGTAGTATGGACGGGACCGAATTTTAGAGCCGAACGAACAACATCTACCCATTCGTTTTTGAACTCCTTTGATGTACCGACTCGAAACGGATGGTCGAGCAAACGAACAAACGAACGGCCTCGTGCGTTCGGTTCCCCGTCCAAATATACCGAATTCCATTCGTTCGCTCGCTCGTTCGTTCGTTCGGATAATGAATATGCACCTTAAGTTATATAAAATTCCGGATGCTTTCTAGACGGACTATATTTTAAATTAGAACATAGTCATTGCATTATTGTGTTACAGCCACCAGTTCCTGTAGCTAAGTACGAAGGAATATATAATGCAACGCAAGACGCCCCTCTGTGTCCGCAGCCAACAAAAGATCCTGTTTCAGAAGACTGTTTATTCCTTAATGTTTATACCACTAAGGTACGTTTAGAACATATACAAAAACTGCTAGATTAATAAATGTATTAGTTTTACCTTTGTTTTTAAATACAAGGGTAAAACAAATGATTAACAAATTAGAAAGGACTGACAAAAATTTTTGTGCTATATCTATTACAGTTACCAAAAGGCAGTGATAAGAACGTGAAAAGGCCCGTCATTGTCCACATTCACGCCGGCGGTTTTTACAGCGTCGGATCAGCCAGTTACTGGGCAGGACCCCAATATTTCATGGATCAGGATATTGTCCTGGTCACATTCAACTACAGACTGGGCACATTAGGTAAGACAAATTAATTAAATACATACAATTTTAATGTTTTAAAAATATATGCATAATTTTTGATAACAAATTAGTGTGTCTATTATTATTTTTCCAGTTGTTTTCTATTATTCTCAAACAAGTGACATTCATTAAAGCAACTTATATGTGATTTTCTTATACCGGGTGCGTCTCTAAAGTGACTCACCCCTATAATTTTTTATTTTTTCAATTAAACAAACGAGATTTGGTATGTTAGAATACGACATAAATTAAGATTGATTGATGTATTCAATTGTTTTTGGTCACTTCCTGTTTCACCGGAAATAGCTATAACTTTTTATTTTTAAATGGCTCAGTATTTTTTTACTTTATTCGATAGAAAATAACACACTGAATAGAATGACATATCACATGTCAACTTTTGACATTTTCGCATATGGTTTATTTCAAATTATAACTTGCGGTTCGTAACGAAAATTTGACTCGAAATGCCAAGTGTGGTATCAAATTATTCGTAAAAAAATGCTTTTTCCAAATATGCAAATGAGCCACCCTCGTTCCTTTTTCCAAATTTGAAAAAATTGAAATATGATTGAAAATACGATTTGAGCATTTTCCAACTGGCCAGGACTAGACACTAAAAACATTAGACTATCAAATCTATTTTTCCAAGGTTCCTTGATTAAGAATTAGTGTTTTTAACATAGTCATGGCACTCTAGATTAAAATTTAAAATACGATTTTTTATAAAGCGAGAGTATCAAAAGTTAACATATGATATGTCATTATATTCAGAATGTCATTTTCTATCGAATGAAGTAAAAAAATACCGAGGGTGCTATTTAAAAATCAAAAGTTGTAGTCATTTCCGATGAACCAGGAAGTGACCCAAAACAATTGAATACGTCAGTCAATCCTAATTTATGTCTTATTCTAACATACCAAATCTCGTTTTTTTACCTGAAAAAATACAAAAATTATAGGGGTGAGCCACTTTTGAGACGCACCCGGTATACATAACATTGATTTTATTTGCAGTAAACACTCATTCTATTTGGGGCCTTTTCAATATTAATATCAGGTTGAATCAACGGCAACTCTGCTTACTGACGATGTCAAATAATGTATTTATTTAATACTGAAAATATTTACTTAAATCAAGCGACCATGAAGCCACTACCACAAGAAAAGCAATGTAAAACCAAAATTTAAAAAAAAATGGACTTTCCTTCTCTGTGTCTTTATGTAAAATGTGTCTTTAATATTTGGGCTTTCTTACTACATAGACTGCGGTAAGAGGGTCCAATTTATACCAATTTTATACATGTGTGTTTTTTGTTTCTTTATTCTGAACATTAGCGGACTTACTCTGTTCTGGCATCTCAGCAATATTTTCTCAGTCTTGACAACACTGCGTGGCTTGCTATAAAAATAGAGATATAGCTAGATAAATAAATACTATCATAGAATGACAGATATATTGTGGAGAATATTTGATATTAGTCTACTACTGTTTATATTTCTATTATTTTTTAGTTTTCTTATCTAGTTCTTTAACTAGAGTGGTAACAACAAAGCAATATATGTCTTTATGGTTAGATCACAATATGCTTTCTCACCACAAAAATAAATATTCATCTGCATCAAAATAATATAATAAATAAGTCTGAAGAACTATAAGCTTAATTATTTTTTTCTCAGGATTTTTATCAACTGGAGAGAAAGATGCTCCAGGAAACAACGGCTTGAAAGATCAAGTTCAAGTTCTGAAATGGGTTAAACAAAACATTGAATCGTTTGGTGGTGATCCTAACTCTGTTACAATCCTTGGATATAGCGCTGGAGCCATAAGTGTTGTTCTGCACATGGTGTCTCCATTATCAGCAGGTAAAATTTATATATTTAAAAATGGCTTCAAATTAAAACCAGCAAATAGTTTATACTCAATTTTAAGCAGTAACTATTGAAAGTAAATACGTTTTTAAAAAAAATCAAAATTTAGTGTTAATAAATAAATTTTATTTAATATTAATAAATAATTAGCCAAATTTACTTTTTATATAAAGCAGATGTAGTTGATTTTAAAGTTTTCGTTGCAATATAGATATTACTATTGCTTCACAAAGAGATATTAACCATAATTATACCTTTCAGGTCTCTTCCACAAAGCTGTGGCCATGAGTGGATCCCCGACATCCCAGTGGATTTTAGGACATGAACAACTAGAGATCGCCAAAAAACAAGCCAGAATATTGAAATGTCCAGACGATACCTCTGCAAATATTATAAAATGCCTGAAGACCAAGCCTGCCAATGATCTTGGACAATCATTACCACAATTTGCAGTAAGCAGATAAGTTTTAAATTTATCATTCTTACTTAGTTTTTAAACTTTACAGCCAACCATTACATATTACTCTATTTTATAGCGTCAAGATGTAATGATGAAAATATTATTAAGTAATATTTTGAATGGACACTATTTTTTTCTTATTTTTTTCAGGAATTTGGAACAGATCCTTTGCTAATTTGGACTCCAGTAATGGAGAGGGACTTTGGACAACCCAGATTTTTAACTGCCCATCCTATAACATTAATTCAAAATGGAGAATTCCATAAAGTGCCATTCATTACAGGTGTAACTACGGACGAGTTTGCCTATAAAGCATTCAGTAAGTATAAGATCTTTGTAAATCCAATGTGAATTTTTGATAAATACAACACAAGCAGGTAATACAGTCCTCAGATACACAGACATCTTTATAATGATAGAGATTTCTTTAAATAAATCAACTAAGCTTGGGAATCTCATTAAATCTATCTTCAGTCTAATTATAAGCGTCTTCATCAGAATATAAGATTCTATTGAAAGCTTTCTCATAAGAAACTATTATTTTCTGAATCTTTCAAAGAGGGAACGCTACAAAGCGTAATATTATTGTATTCAATACCTATGTTTCTGGCCGGCCGGCCGCGGCCGTAGCGCAAGCAATTAGTGTGTCGATCTGCGGTGGGAGAGGTGGGATGGTACTTGGTTCGATCCTCAGCCAGTACGGTCGCTTTATTTATTTAAATAAAAATATTGATTTATCTAAATAGAGCGACCAGCGAGTCGCCACCTCAAGGAAGGCAATGGCAAACCACCTTGAGTATATTTGCCTTGTACAGCCTCTCAAATAGTGCCGTTCGGATTCGGCGATAAACTGTAGGTCCCGTGTACTTGTGAAATAGTGATGACACACATCACAAGTACATGCGAGAGGTAGCCGACGCTCTGTATAAAGTATGGCACTGTAAGTAAGTAAGTATATGTTTTTAGAGGTAGACGTAGGTTCTACTAACTAAAAGTAGCAGAAAAGCTACTAACTAAAAGTAGCAGAAAAGCTACTAACTAAAAATAGCAGAAGTATAATATTCTATGAGTTGCAATCACTGCCATTTGAACTAGAAAGCATATTTTAAATTTTAAACTTTAGTCTTCTGATGAAGAATATTTCTAGAGTTAATGTGATCTTCTTCTTCTTCTTCCAGATATAGTAAATAATGAGACTTTAACCAAAGAGCTTAATGAAAAGTGGGAAGAAAAAGCGCCAATTGCATTCTTGTATGAAAGAAAAACTGATCAATCAAAACTAGTCAGTAAAACGTTGAAGAAAGTATATTTAGAGGACAAACCAGTTGACAAAACTTCTATTTCTGCACTTGGACAAGTATGATATCTTATATATAAAATTGCATAATATTTATTACTGTTTGGTTTAATCCCCCATCAATGTTTATATACAGGGTGGTCCGAACTGTATTCCGGAAACTTTAGCAGCATATTCTGCAGATAAAAATAAGTAAAAAGTTTGTATGAATCTATGTCCTAAAATGCTTAGTTTCGGAGATACAGGGTATAGAAGTTTCATTTTTATTTCGATTTTTTCCAAATAATTCATGAAGTAACATCAATATTTGGATGAAAATTGGTATCTAGATGTTTTTTGACATAAGAAATTTGAATCTGATGTCAATACGACTCCTACTTGTAGACGGCGCCACCTACATATTTTTAACTGGTTTAAAAAAATAAAAATTTCCCAAATCACCTTTATTTCAGTCAAATAACTATCTACGAGCCCTAACAACTAAATGTTCGGACAAACAAAAATTTATTAAAAATTTTTATTTTCATAAACTGAATTATTTACATTTAAGAAATATATTTAAAATATATTAAAATCTAACATTTCTAATGAGTATTTAAATAGTTTAGTTTCTATAAACATTAAAATAATCTGTAGGCCAATAAATAAACAAAAATATTGCACAATATCGTGACAACTAAATGTTCGGACACTTTAAAAAATAACTGTTCTAATATGGCGTTACATCGGGTTAAATTTTTGCAACCACTGCAATCCTGTTTGGCATTGTTTTTATTAATGAATGGCATACGCCAGAGTAAAAATTTTGCCATAATTCACTTAATATCATCGTCAAATGGGCAACGGCTTCTTGGGAATCGTGGTACAAATTTTGTTTTGTTTTATATCTCGATAACATTAAGGTCCGGACTGTGGGAAGGCCATGAGGGAACCTTGATGTTCATTTCCCTAAACCATTTTTTAGTAGTTTTAGCTGTATGGCATGCCCCGCCATCCCGTTGAAATATAAAATTATTGTCCTGGTCTTTACCAGAACAATTGGTTACAAGGACATTTGTCCTTCTCACTTGACACAAGGATATTTTTCAAAATTTTTTGATTTTTTGACGCATCAATTATGCCTTCTACCACCTCATACTTTTCTGGGCCTATTTGGACATACACCTTCAAATTAGGAAATTTCACTATCCTTTTATTGCAATCTTTATCAAATAAACACTCTAGAGGTGTAGATTATATTTAGTATATCGATATTAAGGTGGCTCATGTGCACATGTAATCCGTGCACTTGCCATTTGCGATTGGAATTATTAGCGCCAGATTGGAAAATAATTAAATTTTTTACCTTAATGTCATTTTTGTAGTTTGTGACATCAGAAGTTCCAATCCGACGCTGATAATTCTAATCGCAAACTGCAAGTTCAAGGATTACATCTGCACGCATGCATGATCTTTATGAAAGATGGACAGTGGAATTTCCTAAAGACATTATGCTTTTAGAGTGTATGCCCGCAATGGGTCTAGAAAGGTATGAGGTGGTAAAAAGGCAGAACTAATGTGTCAAAATATCAAGAAATTTTGAAAAACAGTTTTGTGCCAAGTCCAAGAGACCGTTACAGGATATGAATTTTATATTTCAACAGGATGGCGAGACATGCCATATGGCTAAAACTACTAAAAAATGGTTTAGGGACATGAACATCAAGGTCCCCTCATGGCCTTCGCACAATCCGGACCTTAATGTTATCGAGACATGTGGTATAAAACAAAACAAAAATTGTGCCCAAGAAACCGTTGCCCATTTGACGATGATATTAAATGAATTATGGCAAAATTTTTACTCTGGCGTATGTCAATCATTAATGAAAACAATGCCAAACAGGCATGCAGTGGTTGCAAAAGTTCATGCCGATGTAAGGCCATATTAGAACAGTTATTTTTTAAAATGTCCGAACATTTAGTTGTCACCATATTGTGCAATATTTTTGTTTATTTATTAGTTTACATTTAGTTGTTAGAGCTCGTACTCAACGTGTTTATTTTTTATCAATAATGACAAGTATTGACTATTTCCATTCTAAATATCTTGAGAACGGTTGCTCGTAGCCATTTTTACCAAGAGACAATTTTTACGTAAAAAGGTACGGAAATGTATATTTTTTCACTCGGTAGTTTTATACAGGTACGGACGAAAAGTTATTACTATTGAAAAGAGTTAAAACACATGTAAGTGGTACCCCCTACATATAGGAGTCATATTGACATCAAAATCAAATTTATCATGCCAAAAAAACTCCCACACAACAATTTTCATCCAAATATTGACGTTCCTTTATAAATTATTTGGAAAAAATCGAAATAAAAATGAAACTTCTACACCCTGTATGTCCAAAACTAAGCATTTTAGGACATATATTTATTCGAATATTTTTACTTATTTTTATCTGCAGAATATGCTGCTGAAGTTTTCGGAATACAGTTCGGACCACCCTGTATATATATTTATATTATCACATCGTACTTAAGCCCCGTTCTATGAAAAGCGTTGTGTTTCTGGCGACACTTCAGAGAACCAATAAAATTTGTACTAAATTGTCTATTTTATTCCATGTTTCTTTTGGCCTGCCTCTATTTTTCTTGGCTTGAGATCTTGCTTCTTATATTTTCTTCACTTGAATGTCGTTCATTTTCTGTCAGTGTCCCAACTAATTTAAATTAATGACTTTTTAAATTTATCGAGATTTGTTTCTTTTTGTGTTTTTTGTACTAACTTAGTTTATAAAATGCTTAATTTATTTTAAGTAATATTACTTTTTAGCTCTATGCTGATTCGACAGTTGGATTCGGTGTGAACAGAGCTGTGAAATTAATCAGTGAGAAAAACAACGCTTCAACTTATTATTACAAATTTAGTTTTCAAGGAAGATACAGTCATTTCTACGCACCAGATAGTAATGGCACTAAACCTTATGGTAAGATAACCTTTTAAGAACTGCACACAGGTATTATACAGGGTGTCCCAGAAATAAGTGCAAGTATTTTAACTGGTAGTTCGAAATTAACTGCTAATTCGAATTTTTTTGAAAATTTTTTTGGAATTTTTTTAGTTTTTAGTTAAAAAATATAATTTCTTGATAATATGGCAACATATGTATTAGATTAAATTTACAAGAAAAAAAAATCCAGAAAAGATCCAGTGGTTCTCAAAATTTTAGCAAGAAATATTTTTTTTTGGAAATTTTCAAAGAAAATAACTCCGTTATTTTGGACTTATTTGAAGAACGATAAAGAGAAAATATGTTTCTTTTATCGAGATCTACCACCCCTTAAAATACATTCAGTTATTTCTGGGACACCCCGTATATACAGGGTGTTTAAAAAAAAACATGTGCTATCTCTCGTGGGGCGATTCCTCACGTAAAAATAAGATTTATTTTTCATACCGACATAGTCCCGTTCTACTTTTTTTACCCCGTTTTGCTACAGGGTGTTAAAGTTTTAACATATTTTCGATTTATTATAATTTTCTTCCAAGCATATTTAGCGTTTCGAATGAAATTTTGAGGGTAAAAGTTACTATAAATGGGACGTATATTAAAGCTAAAAAAGAGTCGACATATTCACCAGGGACGTGTATATGGGTTATCACTGGAATATTTTTCTAAAAAAAGAATGTACGCCACTGACTTGTTTTTCTCTTGTTAGCGAAATAATAGCTTTGTTTTGGTTCACGCTTTAGGACAGTTCGCACAGCGTTTTATGTTTTGGTTCATTCGGAATTGATTCTGAATGTTTACACAGCAGTTTTGGTTTCTGGCTGGGACTGGTTCTGGACCGTTCTAGGATCGTCCTAACGATTCGCGCCTCTCAGTAGGGACGGTTTACGAATTAACAGTTCGCACATGCGCAACAATAATAATCTTGGATGTGTTTTGGTTTATGGTTCTCTCGAATTGATTCCGAACCGATCCGAGATAATAGCTAGTACGCAATTTGTTCTGCGCAATTCTAGAATCGTCCTGAAATTCGAACCAAAACAAAGCTAATGTAAGCAGTTTAATGCCGATTAAAAGTTCTCTTTGACTTGTCTATTTTGGCCTCCTCCTAAAATTGCGTTTATCTCATCAAGGAGGCCGAATTCGACAAAATATCGAGAGAGATACTTTTAATTGGACGCCCTAAACAAGTTTCATATCAAAAGAAAAAAATCAGTGGCGCACATGTATATTTTTTGAAAAATATTCCAGTGATAACCCATATGCACGTCCCTGATGAATTTATCGACACTTTTTTAGCATTAAAATATGTAGCACTTAGGTTACTTTTACCACCGGTAAGTTATACCGTATGATCGAATAAAAACGGCGTAAGAGATGGCTATGAAATGACAATCGATGACATTTCCCATATAATTTTACATATAAAATGGCAGCGATCTTCATTTCATAGCCATCGCTGACGCCGTTTTTATTCGATCATATGGTAATATTATTCGGTGCTTTTACTCTCAAAATTTCATTCGAATCACTAAAAGTACTTGGAAGAAAATTATAATAAATCTAAAGATTATTAATCTTTAACACTCAGTAGCTACGAAACAAAACAGAATCGGACCTATGTTAATATGAAAAATAAATTATATTTTTACGTAAGGAATCTCCCCACAAGAGATGGCACATGTTTTTTGAAACAGCCTGTAGAAGTTATGACTAGGGAAGTTAAAGAAATTCTTCAGACTTTTATTTTCTAAAAATTTTAGGAGTTGTTCATCATGACGACTTGATATACTTATTTTATATATCGAGACTGTTCCCCTACTTTAAAGACAACTCTCTTAAAGAAGTAGAGATGGTTAATAAGTTCACCAGTTTGTACGCTAATTTTGCCAAATATGGGTAAGTTTTGTATACAGGGTTGTTCATCACATACGACACGAAGTATTGTAGCTAAACGATTAGATTTTTAAAAATTGTAAGTTTTGGGTTCGTTACTATTAGAGCTACAATTTAAAAATATGTTTACAAGATACAGAGTGTCCCAAATAAATAAAAAATATCAAAGTTGTATTATTTAAATGGAACACCCTGTATATTATTATATTTTTAGTTTTAACGATTAAAATAAAGGTAAATTTGACTATGGTTTATCATACTTACCTAACCAAACCAAACCAAACCTTACCGTTTTTGAAATATTTTCAATTTTGGAAAATTGCAGTAAAAATTTTAAGGCCTCATTTCTGTAAGGGTATCAAAGTTTTTAATACTAAATATTTACTGAAGTTTATTTATGGATCAGTTATTTTGTTGCAATTATAAAAATAATACTACCTCATACAGTGTCTAAAAATTTATTTCAAATAATTTCTAGCTTTAAACGGCAATAACTTGTTTAATTTAAATGGAATATTCTGTATATTTTAGGAGAATCAGATGCACAATTTAATTGTCTATCAAATTGTATTACACTATTTTTTATCTATCCCTTCAAGTTTTCGTAGAAAATGGATTTTCTTATAATTTAGACCTCATTTATCAATATAACCATGGAATATTGACATATTACATTGTTTTTAGCAAAAAATGCACAAAATATACAGGTGCTAAAAATCATAATATTACTAGCACATTTGTATACAAAATGAAAACTATTTATATCTTTATAAAAGAGTATATCATTAATTAAATATAGCACCATTATTTCCGCCTAAATATTAATTAATTATATACTTAATTGTGTTAATTAATAAATTATTCTAAATAAATGTGGATTTGAATCGGAAATCAATATAATAATAAGTTTTGAAAATGAACGTATCTGTTATAAGCATTCGTCAAAAACGAAATAACATTTTTAAGGTGTTGCTTTTTACCACATTCTCTAATACACATACAAAATTCAGTTTTTTTAGTATTTGGAGCAATTATTAATAATCAACGCAAACAGTCAATTATTAATGTAGTTTGAATACTGGAATCATATTAATTGGTCCTTTAACAAATATTTAAACAGTTTTTTTTTATATTTTTTTAATGAAATAAACGAACTATGTCGACAATATTCGTATCTGTTCTCTTTAAAAACGTGTTACATGTTTAAAAATAATCTAAAATGCCAATATTCCATAGGTATATTGATAAATTAGGTCTAAATTATAAGAAAATGCATTTTCTACGAAAACTTATAGGTAAAAAATGGTATAATACAATTAGATAGACAATTAAATTGTGCATCTGATTCTCCTAAAATATACAGGGTGTTCCATTTAAATTAAACAAGTTATTGCCGTTTAAAGCTAGAAATTATTTGAAATAAATTTTTAGACACTGTATATGAGGTATAGTATTATTTTTATTATTGCAACACAATAACTGATCAATAAATAAACTTCAGTAAATATTTAGTATTAAAAACTTTGATACCATTACAGAAATGAGGCCTAAAAATTTTTACTCATAAAATATACAGGGTATTCCATTTAAATTAAACAAGTTATTACCGTTTAAAGGTAGCAATTATTTAAAATAAATTTTTAGACACTGTATATGAGGCATAGTATTATTTTTATTATTGCAACACAATAACTGATCAATAAATAAACTTCAGTAAATATTTAGTATTAAAAACTTTGATACCATTACAGAAATGAGGCCTAAAAATTTTTACTCATAAAATATACAGGGTATTCCATTTAAATTAAACAAGTTATTACCGTTTAAAGGTAGCAATTATTTAAAATAAATTTTAAGACACTCTGTATAAGGTAGAATAATTTTTATTATTGCAACACAAACTTGAGTAAATAGAAATACTTCAGGACAATATTTGGTTTTAAAAACATAAATACGCCTAGAGAAATGAAGCATTAAAATTATTACTGTATTTTGACAAAAACGGAATATTTCAAAAACGGTAAGATTAAAATGCGGTAAACCTAATCAAATTTATCTTTATTTTAATCGTAGAAACTAAAAATGTAATAATATACAGGGTGTTCCATTTTAAAAAATACAACTTTGATATTTTTTATATATTTGGGACACTCTGTATCTTGTAAAAATATTTTTAAATTGTAGCTCTAATAGTTCTTCATCGAACCTCGAACTTACAATTTGTAAAAATCTAGTCGTTTAGCTATAATACTCGGTGTCGTATGTGGTGAACAACCCTGCATATTAAAAAACATGCAAAACTGTAGTAATTGATTCCTTTCTCAGTTTTTTTATTAAATAGGTTTTTCATAATACTCATATGATATTAAAATAAATGAACCGTTTATATTTTCAGAAATCCAATTCCTACACCAAACGACAGACTAGATAATGTTAAGTGGGAACCGTACAATACAAAATCCCAAAAATACTTAGATATTGGAAATAAATTGACGTTACAAGAAAAATTGTACGAAAAGCGATATTCTGAATGGGAAAAACTATACCCTTTGGAAAAATACGCTAAAATTAAGTAAGATATCGACCTCAAGATATCGCAAACCACTCAATTTTCTTTAATTTCAAATAATCAATTTAATGTTTGAATTATTATTTATTACGATTTGACGTACCCCAGACTTTCTTGTTTGTTGTTTTACCTCTGCAGTGTTTTCTGGGTCACGTCAAATACTAATACAAAAGTGTACATTTAGCGCATAAAATTACTAAATAAAAAAAAACAAACCAAATTACTAACACAATATTTTCTCTAACATGCTCTTCTAAGGCAGCTTTTAAATGTATATAAAATTATATATAAACAAAATAAAATTGTTTTGAGACTACCTACTAGATATTAAAATTAATTAACATTGTCCTCATATATTTCTAACAATTTATATGTACTATTCATTTTATTTGGATTTTCTTACATCATTAATATTCCTTTAAAACTGAAGCTTTTAAAATAGATATTGATGACGGAGAAATAAAATTGAATACAGAAAATTAAAGAAAATTGATATTATATGATTTTAATCTTATAACGACGTGCAATGGACTATGGACAACTATTTATGTTAGATTATAAGATGCAATTTACAAAAAAAAATACAAAAAAAATAGTAATGTTGATGTTTTATATTAAGTTTGTAAATACTTTAAGTGTTTGAATAAAAATGTGAGACAGTTGAATTGTTTGGTGTTTTCTCATCAGATATTTGGCTTCCCAAGTACCATTTTCACGACTTGCGACCACATGTTTACTAAACACAACGTTGGATTAGTTACAAAAAATAGTTAGCTCCCTACCTTGGGTATTAAAATAAATTTAAACGTTTTTATAACGTTCGTTGTACCGACGTTGGACTAGTACTACAGCAAAGTAGAAGCTTCTGCGACGTCGAATAAACGTTGTCTTGTAACCTTTTTTGCTTAAGTGATCTTTAGGTGATTCGGACAACGTAGTTACAACGTTGGACAATATAGAGTTTTCCGACGTCAGTTTCAGGACCTATTCCAACGTTATGCAAACGTCGTCTGTTTTAGTAATTCCAACGTTGTTTAGATTTCCTTATTCTTACGTTGGTAGGATGTCGGGTCACTACCTTTTTGCAACTGTATTGAACCATAACCTTAAATCTTAAATTTTCACTTCATTGTTCTGTTCAGTCAGACAGTTCCCCATATAGCACGTCTAAATGAAATTACGTTTCTACAAGGGAGACACATGAGAAACAACATATGTTAAAGTGAACCTAAGTGTTCATCTAGTTCTAACATATACATATGAGATACACGCAGGTTTATATTGATAGAATTGTGTGATACAGTGTTTACTAGTTGTATACCGTATGCACTCAAGATTCTAAAGAGTTTTTTGTAACGTAACAAATAATTATTAAAATGATGAAATCTGACGTCGGTATATGAGACATACAATGTATATGTCATATGTATGTGTGATACTTCGTATCATAGTTGTGCCTATAGTACACGCCTTGTAAAAATGTGACGTATACACATAATATAAATATCTATATAGACACTTTGTAATAGTGTACTGTTGTGTCTACATTCTAGCATGAAATGAAGGTGTGCGCATGCGCGGATAGCCTCAGCGTAGGTAGGGAGAGGATGAGTATGCTAATAAACCAACTGCTTGGAGGGAACAGAGGAGAAAAAAATGACTAAACGAGGTCCACCAAATCGTGGCGATATACCAGTGTTTACCATTTTAGTATGTTGTTATACTAGATACTTATCTTTTTAATACATTTTGATACAAATTCTGCTCTTTTACAGAGTTTTCTTACTTCTGGTTTCTGCAGTGTAAATAATTATTATTGTTGTGTTATTTGCGCTATTGCGTTCGATGATATAAATATAAGAATTTTATTTTTTAATCACTTAATCCATTTTATGGAAGAAAAATGGTACATTTAATACAAAACAAAAATGGAACAATTTTAAGGCTACTTCTCTTGAACTTACGATCGAGATACTTTTGGAAAATACAAAGTTTTGCCTTCCTAATTTTCGTTCTAAAAAGATATAATTGGTATCATTGAATAAATATTTCTTAAAAAGAACGAAAAGTTAGGCATCAAAACTTGTATTATTTCCTAAATTCGTTCATAAGAAATAGCTTTATCTAGCACAAGATGTATATACGAAGCAAAATACATACGTATACACGCGGAAGTTACAACTGCAATGTGTAAATATAGTTTAAACGTAATATACAAGCACTGTGTATCCTACGGCACATTGTGTATCCCTTACTTTGTGTAAATGCTATACTGTGGCTATATTGTGAGGCGGACGTTTAACCTTTGTGCATACTTGTTGAACTACAATGTCTAAACGTAGCATATTTACATCGGGGGAATTGTGTCACCCTGTGTCTACATCTAATAATGTAAACACATCGTAAATGTGATTTAATGTGCTGTATGGGTCAGTGCTGTTTTTGTTTTTATAAAAAAAAAATAATTAAAATGGGACATAAGAAAGGTACATATAAAACTTAATTTAAATATACATCGACATATATTACCGATAGTTTATCTACTCCCTCGTTTATTTAGATTATAGAGGGCGGCACAAGCTAGACTCTAGGATGACTAAATTAGGCAATCTTGCGACTAGTATACTACCTGTTAAGGCCGAACTGCGACTTTATTAGTCCAGTATGCGACTACTCGAACTACTCCATCTTAATCTCCAAAACAACAAAGTGCAAGCCGCCATGTTGTTAAATAAGAAAATGTTTCGTTTTTAAAATAGCAATTCCTGCTTTTGAATACATTAACTTGAAATATTTGACCCTAAAAACACGCGGAAACAATTTTTTCGACTGCGAATGAATTATTCTCATTTTACTAAAAAAAAATTCAAGAAAATTTTTAAAACTTCTTTAATTTTAAGGCCCATTAGTATTTTTCAAAGTAGAAACAATACATTTATCAATAAAGTTTTTTGCGTTTAACTTTTTTTTGCCTTGGGTAACGAGTTACAGAGTCGGTTAAAGTGTTTCAATAATTATGATCTTCAAACATCCTCCACACTTAAATACTTTTGTTTTGTTTTCCTTCACTGCCATCTGACATATGTCTCTAACTAAACCATAAAAATAATATTTTTACTATAATTATCCCAATTTAGGATAAAACGCGACTTAGACGCCATATTAGTTTTGTATTTCTGTGAATTAGGATTTTAAACAGCGTTGCAGATTGTAGTAAATTAGGCTTCTAGCCAACGTCGGTATCCAACGTCGTTTCGACCCAAAAATTATTCTCCAAACTAGTGCAGACTAGGGTTGGCACGAGGTTGTGCCGACGTTGCGCCCCGACGTTTGGTCGCGTGACACAACGTTGTCCCGACGTCCAAATGCTGCTTGGGTTGTTAAATGGATTTAGCAATGTCATAAACGTTCTTCTCTTATCTTATTTCTTCTTAATACAAATAAAAATTATAGCTATAGTTAAAGTAAAACATGATACCGTGCTGGCAACTCTTACTTTTGGGTCGGTATTTACATGTGCGGACGTAATTCGCATAGGGATCTTATTAAGTCGGAGTGAGAGAAAGGCGACGGTGTGCTGTTACGGCGTTGCCACATTTCTCCGGTACGTTTTTCCCTATCAAGTAAAGTAAAATTACGATCGCAAACCGCTTATTTTTAAAAGACTTTTTTTTCGGAAAGATAACTTGAAAAAATCATTAGATATGTTACTGAGCGTCTGATGTTTAAATGAGAAAAATTCGATAGGCTTGTTTTTTCTCATTCAAAAATTTTAAAAACCCGTACATTTACTTTTAGTGCATAACAATTTTCAGCAATCGTGTAATTTTTTTATTTGTAAAGATTTTCACATACTGTCTGTGAAGAAAATATAGCAGAAATATTAAGAAAGTGTTTGGAAAAAACTACAATTAATTATTTCTAATGGATTTGGAGCTATCGATCTTTGAGTTCTAATAGCGCGACCACTGTCGAACATCAACTCAATTCCACTTAGTTTTACCAAAGTTGTTTCTAACTTGCATTTAAAAATTTACAAGCTATAGGGAAAATTACAACTCATTAATAAATAAGCAAATAAAGTATCACCAGACGTAATTAAATCGTAAATGCGAACGCATGATTTACACCCTTCTCTAGAATTTTAAGTACTGATTGGTGTACTGATTGGGTCGATCGGTCGACCGCGACGAATCTGCTGTATCCCCTTCCACGTCTCTTAGCATTGTGCATAGATTATCGGTTTATTTCATTCGTTTGGCAACGTTTTTACTGTTCTCTCTTTGTCCAGTACATTATAAACGCATTGTACATTCTTACATACGGAAATCTCGACTCAAAACTAACCTTTGCCAGCCCTTAGTATGATTAAAACTTAAAACCATATTTAGAATAAACATTATTTACTAAAAACACAGAATAAACATTCTCAGCTAAGCATAGTTTGTAGGGAGACAGGTTATTTCTCACCCTCCTCTGACAACAGTTGTTCATCCTCTGAGGAGTGAACATCTACTTCCTATAAGGGTATACACCCTTCCACGGTTGGGATTTAGCCCTCCGTGCCCTTCACAGTCGAGGAACTCATAAGAGGATAGGACACGAAAAAATACCAGGACTGTTTGGGACCTAGATTGGGTTCGCCAAATAGTAGAGACACTTCCCAAAGGAGCAGCATAAAAAACATCACGGAGGAAAGAAAAAAGTTTTCAAGAACAACACAATGGAACTAAAATATTTTACTGTAGTCGAACTAGAACAAGCAAGTACCAATCTTTCGGCATATAAATCACCTGGTCCTGACGGCATGCCAAAAGATGTTCTTAAAATAGCCATTGATGTATGGCCGGAGCTACTACTACACTGTACTACCGAAGTACTACACAGTAAATGAATGTCTTCTTTTTGGATATTTCCCAAACAAATGGAAGCAACAAAATTTGGTCCTTCTACACAAAGCCAACAAGCCAATAGAGAATACGTCTTCTTATAGACCAATCTGCCTAAGATACCAGTGCCAAACTCCTGGAAAGATTAATACTACAAAGAATGGAGGTCCATGTAGACAGCATAGAAGGATTATCACATCGACAGTATCGTAAAGGAATATTGAACATCGACACAATAAATCGAGTAGTCACTATTGCAAGGAGTGTAAAGGAAGGGAATTGGGAAAATAAAGGATATTGTGCATTAATAACTTTAGATGTCAAAAATGCTTTCAATATTGCAAGATGGGGAGAAATTATACAAGCCTTGGATAGAAAAAGATTTTTTTTTCCATAACAAGGGGCCGTCCTCTGCCGGAAACACTGCGACCTATGAGGCCTATTGTGTTTGTCCCCCTTCTATATCTGCGCCCATTCTCCTATCCCTGTACCCTGCCCTAGCGTATGCAGATCCTTGATAAGATGGGAGCATAGTTCCTCCGGTTCTAGCCTAGCTTTCCCAAACCTTTTTTGTAGAGAATTCAATTTCCTACAAACACGTGAGACGAGATATGTTTTTCCAAATAATATATACCGAGATATAGTTTTTTTCCCAAGGAGCTTCCCCACTTTATCACACAAACGATAAGGTCTCGCATCTCCTAGAGAAAAATCTTGGGGTTACTAACAAAACGAAATATTTTATAATAATATTTATATAATTTTTATTATACAATAAATCACATATTCGATTACATATTTTATAATTAAGAAGCTGAATATTTCGCAAATCGGTAATTTAACCCAGTCGTGGTGCCGATGTGACAGGGGCACCTTGCGGACTGAAAGTTATCCTTGGAACAAATCCAGACTCGCCATCCACGGAGTACTCCACGTTCATTAGCCTTCCATCTGCCAACAGGACGTAGTAATTTCCAACGACGCGTCCTTGGGCGTCTCCAGATTCAGTCTGGCCGAAGAAGGTGCTCGAAGGAGAGTTGTCGACTTTATATTCAAATTCGTACTGAAAAATAAGTGTAATTCAAAATTAACATAAGATCTTGATAGGTCTTTAGCACAGCAGCCCACGGCCACACAGAAAGCGTTTTTTGCGTTTTTAGCGTGAAGCGTCTTTAGCGACTAAAACAAAATAACATGATTATATCGGAGTGGCCACACCAAAAGCGTGTAACGTTCGGCGTGTCTCGCAAAAAACGCAAATGAAAACAATCAAGTTTTTGATACAATAGTTTTTAACACGTAAAAATATTTTTTTTGCGTAACACAAGGTTTTTTACCAGAAACAATAAGTTTTTGACGCGTAAAAAAAAGCTTTTTGCGTGTAACAAATAGTTTTTTTACACGTAAAATATTTTTTTTTGGGTAAAAGAGATTTTTACTAGAAACAATAGGTTTTTGACGCGTAAAAAATAGTTTTTTACGTGTAACAAATAGTTTTTTACACGTAAAAATATTTTTTTTGCGTAACACAAGGTTTTTTACCAGAAACAATAAGTTTTTGAAGCGTAATTAAATATTTTTTTACGTGTAACAAATAGTTTTTTACACGTAAAAAATATTTTTTTCGGGTAAAAAAGTTTTTTTTAAGAGAAACAAATAGTTTTTGACGCGTAAAAAAAGGCTTTTTGCGTGTAACAAATAATTTTTTTACACGTAAAATATTTTTTTTTGGGTAAAAGAGTTTTTTACTAGAAACAATAGGTTTTTGACGCGTAAAAAATAGTTTTTTACGTGTAACAAATAGTTTTTTACACGTAAAAATATTTTTTTTTGCGTAACACAAGGTTTTTTACCAGAAACAATAAGTTTTTGACGCGTAATTAAATATTTTTTTACGTGTAACAAATAGTTTTTTACATGTAAAATATATTTTTTTGGGGTAAAAAAGTTTTTTTACAGAAGCAATAGGTTTTTGACGCGAAAAAATTAGTTTTTTACGTGTAAAAAATAGTTTTTTACACGTAAATTTTTTTTTGCGTAAGAAAGGTTTTCTACCAGAAACAATAAGTTTTTGACGCGTAAAAATTGTTTTTTACTTGTAACAAATATATTTTTACACTTAACAAATAGTTTTATACGCGTAAAAAATAGGTTTCTACCAGTAACAAATAGTTTTATACGCGTTAAAAATAGTTTTTTACGTGTAACAGTTTTATTCGCGTAAAATAATAAAAATAGTTTTTTACGTGTAACAAATGTTTTTTTACGCGTAATAATTTGATTCACTTTTACAAAATTTGTATTAAAATATCAGTATTTTTGATAAACACGTGGACTGCTTACAAATACAGGTCGCGTCACTACGTATTTCTAAGCCGTTAACACGTTTCGTTACAACGAGCTCGTGTGTCAGGGCCGTCTCACTAGCTCGTATGTCACGGCCTTGAATTTTTACTCCCAGCGCGCGTAAAGACCACCGCGCTTCACTCCAAAATGTTTCATAAATCATGTCCTAAAATTGCATTAGCAACCAGAAATATTTACTATTCTATTGTATAATTATAATTATTTATTATATTATATTATAATTATAACAAGTACTAACCACAACACTACAACATAAAAAAACTATACACATATAAACTAAAATTTTTAAAATAAATGGTAAATAATAATTATTATTTTTACACACACCACTGGCACTAGTAGTAGATTGTGTTTGTCTCCGAATATATGCCCCGGCCCGTCCAAAATTCAATCCCAGCATCTTTTATCTTCGTCTCTTCAACGCTAACGGGGCCGATCTCGCCTATCCCTTTCTCACAGGACTGATTGTTGGACGGGCCGAGAATCCACGAGCTTGCGACGTTACTAATTGACATATTGATAGAAACTGCAGACCTGCCGCGTCTTTTACGTATTTTTAATGGACACAAATCGAAAAAATCGCTTAAAACGGTAAAATCGCAAAAAGCGCTTGAGACGCAAAAAACGCAAAACGCTAAAAACGCTTTCTGTGTGGCCGTGGGCTAAGGTTAAGTCTTATTTTACCAACTTAAATGTATCAAAAAGAAACAATTTGGAATGCATTGAGGGATCGTTTCTATGCACCAGATAGTACAACTACAGCCAAGCACCAAACCTTATGATAAGATAAAATTTTAGGAACTGCACACAGTTATTACATATAGAAGTTGAATTGAATTACATATAGAAGATGTTATGATGATAGAAGTTAAAGAAATTCTTCATTTCTAAAAATTTTAGGAGTTGTTCATCATGACGATATACTTATTCCATACAGGGTGTCTCAAAAAAACATGTACCATCTTTCGTGGGGAGATTACTCACGCAAAAATAAAATTTATTTTTCATATCAATATAGGTGCGATTGTACTTTGTTTCGTAGCTACAGGGTGTTAACCTTTAATTTTTTTTCGATTTATTATAATTTTCTACAAAGTACTTTTTGCGTTTCGAATGAATTTTTGAGGGTAAAAATTACTATAAATGCGACATATTTTAAAACTAAAAAAATGTCGACGTATTCAACAGGGACGTGCATATGGGTTATAACTGGAATATTTTTCTAAAAAAAGCATCTACGCCACTGACTTTTTTTACTCTTTTTAACAAAACAGTGTATGCAGTTTAATGCCGATTGAAAGTTGTCTCTTCATATTTTGTCGATTTCAACAATTTTATTAACTTGCCTTGATCCAACTCCAATAGCAACCTTTAAAAAAATAATATCATTAGCTAACGAACGTTTTAAATAAGTACTCATTGATTCCTCATCAAAAAAATATGAAAAAAAGTTCCTATAAATATGAGTATGGAAATGCATAGTTTTAGAGCTACAGAATGTTAAAACTTTTTAAAATTAGGGTTGGGCTAATAGTAATAGTAATACTATTGAATAATAAATTAATTAAAATATAATTATTTATTCATTTTATTTTAATTTTATTGACAATTATTTTGTTTAATAAAATTACGTTTGTCTCATCAAGGAGGCCGAATTCGACAAAATATCCAGAAATAAATTTAATTGGCATTATACAGCCTACATAATTTTGATATCAAAAGAAAAAAATCAGTGGCGCACATGTTTTTTTCTTGGAAAATATTCCAGTGATAACCCATATGCACGTCCCTGATGAATTTACTAGGAGTTTTTATCATTAAAATATGTAGCACTTGTATTAACTTTTACCCCCAAAATTTAATTCGAATCACTAAAAGTAGTGCTTGAAAGAAAAGTATAATAAATCGAAAAAATATTAAAACTTTAATACCCTGTAGCTACGAAACACAGTAGCATCGAACCTATGTTGATATGAAAAACAAATGTTATTTTTACGTGAGGAATCTCCCCACGAGAGATGGCACATGTTTTTTGAAACACCCTGTATACAATTTATTTATAAAACAGTAAAACTATTGAGTCAATTAATTACTGCGAACTTACCGGTTGTGGTGGATAATTTTCATCGGAAGATCCTGGAATCCTTCTTTGTGGAAATTGTGGCAGAGCGTAACTATATTCCACCAAAACAATTAGTGCAATTGCTAAAACCACTGTATAAGTCATAGCAGCCATTGTAGATAGATTTACTAGAAATAATAATTATTTTTATACAGGGTGTCCCAGAAATAAGTGCAAGTATTTTAAGGGGTGGTAGATCTCGATAAAAGAAACATATTTTCTCTTTATCATTTTTCAAATAAGTCCAAAATAACGGAGTTATTCTGCTTAGAAGATTTCCAAAAAAAAATTATTTATTGCTAAAATTTTGAGAACCACTGGATTTTTTCTGGATTTTGTTTTTTGTAAATTTAATCTGAGACCTATATTGCCATATTATTAAGAATTTATGTTTTTAACTAAAAAAAAATCCAAAAAATTTTTCAAAAAATTTCGAATTTTCAAATTATTTTTTTCGCGAAAAAACCTCAAGCGTGTTTCTGGAGTCGAACTATACTACCAGTGAAAATACTTGCACTTATTTCTGAGACACCCTGTATAGTTTAATATCTCTTCGGAAGTATACGAATATTTCAAATTTCCATTGAATTGAGCAACTTTGCCAATTATTTGTCAAAACAATATATCTACTACTGTACAGGGTACAACTGTGTGCCAAATTTTGGCGCTTTTAAGGGGAATCACCCTTTTCTATAGGAGACTTAAAATTACCTTTTTAAAAATATATATAGCACACTTGATATTTTGTTATAGACCCCTTCGAAATACAGAGCTTTTAAAAGTTCGCCACTTTTAACAAGTAGGTAGGCCTTGGACCCCTTGTTGATGATCTGCTCCTAATGGAACTCGAAAACATATTTTTCCAGCAAGATGAGGTGTGTGACTGAAGTTATCAGTAAATTTTTGCAGCCAATTTCGAGAATAATTGAATAGCAACCAAGATCCCAGCTGTTGGCCGTCGAATCCGCCGAACTTAGCGCCTATGGATATTTATCTTCGCGAATGAATAAAGGTTCTTATTTTTAAATTGCCCGTATAATCTAGACAAGAATTAAAAGTACTTGGTGGTTATGCGAGAAGGTATCTGCCACCCCCACTGAGTTACTGAATTCCGCGAGAAATGTTCAGAAACTGTCCTGTCTGTCCATAACAGAAGACGATCGACATGTCGAACACCTGTAGCAAACTCTCATGTCTTGGTTTGCTATTTATTTTTTATTGTTTTGAGATATAGTATATGTTGATGTATTAAATATAGTTTAAATTGTTATAAAATTCTGCATCTCCCATTGCAAAATTTTCGTTTCTATTGTTGCTCACAGCTAGAATTTTTTTGCATTACAGCCGACGCCGTTCAAAGCCTACTTAGTCAAAGTAGGCGAATTTTTAAAAACTCTATATTTCGAAGAGGAATCGAGCAAAATATCAAGTATATACTATATCTTTGGAAAGGTAATTTTAAATTTTTTTCAATAAATTAAAAATATAGAGAGAGTCCCAAATAAAAAATCAATTTTTCTGTTGATAATTCTTAAATTATTAATTTTTAAAAAAAATATACTTAGACCATTAAATTCTACGTAAAAAGGTGCTTTGGAAATGTTTACAAAAAAATACAAAATTTTCCATAGCAAAAAAGTTACAGCGATTTGTTAAAAATGCACATTTTCTAAAAACACCCCGTATCTCCGAAACGGTAACAGATATCGATGTGCGGTTTTCACCATCATGTTTTTGATAAAAATTGAACTTCACACACCGATATTTGTTTTCGTCTATCTCCTATAGAAAAGGGCGGGCGTTTCCCTTTAAAAGCGTCCAATTTGTGGGTCAAATGTACGCATAGGTACAATAAGGTACAATTTGAATAGCATATTATAAACTGCTAACAGAAAATTAATTATCTTTGAATAATTACCCATTTAAAAAAATGAGAATTAAAACGGACAAACACCAAACTAAAAGGGAAATTAAAACAACTTTGGTTGCATGTCATCAATGACACCATGCGTCGTCTTATGGAGTTTGCTGGTGGTCGTATTATGATGTTAATATAATATATATATATATATATATATATATATATATATATATATATATATATATATATATATATATATATATATATATATATATATATATATATATATATATATATATATATATATATATATATTATATATATATATAATATAATCAATAATAATTTCCCTTGCATTAATACAGGGTGTTTCAAAAAACATGTGCCATCTCTCGTGGGGAGATTCTTCACATAAAAATAAGATTTATTTTTCATATCAACGTAGGTCCGATTCTGCTTTGTTTCGTAGCTACAGGGTGTTAAAGTTTTAATAATCTTTCGATTTATTATAATTCTCTTCCAAGTACTTTTAGCGATTCGAATGAAATTTTGAGGGTAAAAGTTACTATAAGTGTTACATATTTTAATGCTAGAAAAGTGTCGAAAAATTCATCAGGGACGTGCATATGGGTTATCACTGGAATATTTTCAAAAAAAAAAACATGTGCGCCACTGACCTTTTTCTTTTAATAGATAAACGCAATTTTTGTTAATCGCAATAATTAATAAAATTAAATTAAAAATAAGATTAATAGATTATATGTTTTACCTAATTTTTATTAAATATTATTACTATTAAATATTATTACAATTAGTCCAACCTACAGCAATTTCAAATAAAAAAATAATGGTATTTAAGATAATTACAAAAAACCTAATTTTAAAAAGTTTTAACATACTGTAACTCTAAAACTATGCATTTCCATATCCTTGTTTATAGGAACTTTTCTTCTTATTTTTAGATGAGAAATCAATGTGTACTTATTTAAAACTTTTGTAAGTTAATGATATTATTTTTTTTAAGGTTGATATTAGACTTGGATCAAGGCAAATTAATAAAATTGGGTTTATCTCATCAAGGAGGCCGAAATTGATAAAATATCAAGAGACAACTTTTAATCCGCATTAAACTGCTTACACTCTTTCGCTAACAAGAGTTAAAAAAGTCAGTAGCGTACATGCTTTTTTAGAAAAATATTCCAGTGATAACCGATATGCACGTCCCTGGTGAATATGTTGACACTTATTTAGCTTTAAAATATGTTGAATTTCGACTTCAAAATTTCGTTCGAAACGCTAAAAGTACTAGGAAGAAAATTATAATAAATCGAAAAAATATTAAAACTTTGTCACCCTGTAGCTACGAAACAAAGCAGAATCAGACCTATATTGATATGAAAAATAAATCTTATTTTTACGAGAGGAATCTCCTCAAGAGAGATGGCACATGTTTTTTGAAACACCCTGTATATGGGTTAAGAAATCCCCAATAAATATTTTGACAATTTTTTTCATTATGACAATTAATAATAAAAGATGAGATATTTAAAAACTTACCAATTTCGTTAAGTTAAAAATTAATTAAAAAAATCCAAATTTCGATCATATAGATACAGCACTGCACATCTTTCATTAAAGAAATAAACAATTAACGGAAGTCCTAGCGCTTAAATAGCTTCTTGGCATTTCTTGTTGCGATAGAAATTTTAATTTCTTCAAAGGGAGTTTTGACAAGGCCATTACTATTGTACTCATCTCCAAAACATGCATAGATTATTGACTCCCCCTCAGTCATTAGTTCATTTTACCGCAAGGATTTACTTAGTTCGATAATAATTATCGATAGAAAAATTTAAATACAATATAACCAAATATATAAAATATCACTTTAATTTAAATGAGATAACACGCAATATTAGTGCGGGAATAAAGGAGAATCAAAGAACAAAGATGTATCTACAAAACACCTCTTTTTGTTCAGTGTAATCGGAATATGATTATGTTTAACAAATTTCACAAAAAAAAACATTTATTAATTAAAAGTTATGTCAAATAATATTCGCTTTTGTGCTGTAATTTTGTGCAGGGGATGCTACCTGCAATATAATTTATGTTTTTTAACATATTTATTCAAAAATATTTGCTCCTACAGGGTGATCCAGGCGTCCGAAAAAGTTCTGTATTAGATTTTTGGTTTGTAATTTTTGTTTCATTTTTTTTACGTTAAGGTGAGGGTAATGGTAACGCACATTTTAAAAATATTTTTGTCAACATACAGGGTGACTCAAACATATTTTCAAAGTAAAGTTATGTATTTTTAAATAGAATATGTATTTATACTTTTTTTTATATTATTTTTTTAATCTATTTATTTTTGACCTAGTAGGAATATCCGTGTTTAACAGTTTGGGAGCTATAATAAGAAAATGATCGTTTAAACCTAGCCGAACGATGCCTGGGAATATTATAAGGTGTTTTTATTTCTCACGTTAAAAATGTGCTCTATATGCCTAGATGTCAGCTTCAAATGCAAATACCGAGGTTGGCCGCTCTTAAGCAGCATGTGACAGAAACATGCAAAATGTAGTTTTTGGCGATAGTACATATTTAGCCAGCCCAACTCCTTCAGTTCCCAACTTAACATGGTCTCGTTCACTTAAACATCAAACGGCTCTTCGTTATACAGGGTTGTTCACCACATACGACACGGAGTATTGTAGCTAAACGATTAGATTTTTACAAATTGTAAGTTTTGGGTTCGTTGAAGGACTATTAGAGCTACAATTTAAAAATATATTTACAAGATACAGGGTGTCCCAAATAAATAATAAATATCAAAGTTGTATTTTTTTAAATAGAACACCCTGTATATTATTGCATTTTTAGCTTCTACGATTAAAATAAAGGTAAATTTGATTAAGGCTTATTACACTTAAACCTTACCGTTTTTGAAATATTTTGAATTTTGTAAAATTGCAGTATAAATTTTACGGCTTCATTTCTCCGAGGGTATCAAAGTTTTGAATACTAAATATTTACTGAAGTTTATTTATTGACCAGTTATTGTGTTGCAATAATAAAAATTATACTACCTTATACAGAGTGTCTAAAAATTTATTTTTAATAATTACTAGCTTTAAACGGCAATAACTTGTTTAATTTAAATGGAATACCCTATATATTTTATAAGAATCAGATGCACAATTTAATTGTCTATCAAATTGTATTATACGACTTTTTACCTATCCCTTCAAGTTTTCGTAGAAAATGCATTTTCTTATAATTTAGACCTCATTTATCAATATACCCATGGAATATTGACATTTTAGATTTTTAAATTTGACAATTAATTTTTAAAACAACAAATGTACAAAATGTACAGGCTAGTAATATTATCGTTTTTAGTAAAACGATGATATTACTAGCCCATTTGTATGCAAAAAGAAAACTATTTAGATCTTTATAAAAGAGTATACCATTAATTAAATATACCACCAGTATTTCCGCCCAAATACTAATTAATTACATATTTAATTGTGTTCGTTAATAAATTATTCTAAATAAATGTGGATTTGAATCAGAAATCAATATAATAATAAGTTATGAAAATGAATGTCTCTGTTGTTATAAATAAGCATTTGTCAAAAAATGAAATATAATTTTTAGGGTGTTAGCTTTTTTACCACACTGTCTAATACACATAAATAATTCAGTTTTTTAGTATTTGGAGCAATTATTATTAATCAACGCAAACAGTCAATTAATGTAGTTTGAATACTCGAATCATATTAATTGGTTCTCTTTAACAAATATTTAAACAGTTTTTTTATTTTTTAATGAAATAAACGAACTATAATGACAATATTAGTATCTGTACTCTTTAAAAATTTGGTACACCTTTAAAAATAATCTAAAATGTCCGTATTCCATGGGTATATTGATAAATGAGTTCTAAATTACAAGAAAATGCATTTTCTAGGGAATGCATTTTCTACGGAAGCGTGAAGAGATAGGTAAAAAATGGTATAATACAATTTGATAGACAATTAAATTGTGCATCTGATTCTCATAAAATATACAGGGTGTTCCATTTAAATTAAACAAGTTATTGCTGTTTAAAACTAATAATTATTTAAAATAAATATTTAGACACTCCGTATAAGGTAGTAAAATTTTTATTATTGCAACACAATAACTAATCAATAAATAAACTTCAGTAAATATTTAGTATTAAAAACTTTGATACCCTCGGAGAAATGAAGCCTTAAAATTTATACTGCAATTTCACAAAATTGAAAATATTTCAAAAACGGTAAGGTTTAAGTGTAATAAACCTTAATCAAATTTACCTTTATTTTAATCGTAGAAACTAAAAATGTAATAATATACAGGGTGTTCCATTTAAAAAAATAAAACTTTGATATATTTTTTTTATTTGGGACACTCTCTAACTTGTAAAAATATTTTTAAATTGTAGCTCTAATAGTCCTTCAGCGAACCCAAAACTTACAATTTGTAAAAATCTAATCGTTTAGCTACAATATTCCGTGTCGTATGTGGTGAACAACCCTGTATAATACCAAGATTCCTTACTTCATCCGAAGCGGCAAAATTTTGGTCATCAGCACATATTCTTAAATTTCCAATACTGAAATTAGTATACAGCTGTGTATCGTCCGCGTATTGATTGAATGTTGCTATTAACTAAACATTCAGACATGTCGGGAAAATGTTGGAAACGTCCGTGTCCATTGTAAATATGACTAACAGCAAAGGTCCCAGGATAGAACCTTGTCCTTTAGTGTTATAGTTCCTTATACTGCACTATCTGAATACGCAGAATCAACATAAACTCGCTTATTTGAATCTCCTGTTACTTCCCACTCTGCCTGAATACCACTTTTTATTGTGGACATATATGTAGAAATTTAAGTTCAGAGATAGAAACTGCAAGTGATATAAAATATCCATCATTCGCGGCAGTTTTAGCAGTCTAATCAGCGTCTTCATTACCTCCTATGCCCACATGGCTAGGAATCCATACTAGATCCACAGTTGAACATTTAGATATTGAAGAGTGATGCAAGTCGAGCGATTTAACGGCTAGAGGATGTTTTGGTGATAATTCGTTTAGGCATTGTAAAGCATTTAGTGAATCTGAACATATCACCCATTTGGAAGGAGGTAGGTTGGAGATTATTTTTAGTGATTTCTTAATAGAAAAAGTCCGGCAGAAAGGATGCTGGTGGTAGGAAGTAAGCGATATTTATAAGACATATTGTTATGTACAGCGGATTGAATTATTTTATAACAGTCGAATAGCGTTGTCTTAAGGACTGCTTGATTTTATTAAGCGTTTGGTTTCGACCATTCTGTTTTTTAATAAAAGTTGTCATATTAAACTATTTTCTAGTGGTTTTTACAACGTATCCTATAACGCATTAAACGATAATTTCTTTTAGTATGATATAACACTTAATAAGACAATGCTAGATGATAACAAACATATTATTTTATTAGACTCTTATACCCACCATGTAAGAGTTCTTAATATTCATATAACTAGTAGTCACAAGATCATATAATAGTTACTTAAACTTCTCTTATTAAAGTTATATTACGTTGTATGATAGAATGTTTTATTGCGTTAAACTACGGTTCTGTATACAACACTAGTTATATAGCCTTATATGATAAAATTGTGATTAACAAAATAAATTCGCTGTAATATCTGCATTATAAAACTGGTAATGTTTAATATAACCTCATTTTAAATTAAATGGTATACCTAGTTATTTATTTTGTTATTGTTGTTGTTGCAAAAGTAATATCTACGTACGAGTATAATCAATCACAGCTATTATGAATTCACTATTGTTGTAGGACAAAGTTGGAAAAAAGTTAACAAACCCAGCGGTAGTCCGCTGAGAAAAAGGTAGTCCGCTGTCCAAAAGAGCATGTAAGAAAAAACTCCTCGGAATTACGGCAAATAATCCCGAGAATTCCCTGGGTTCCCAAAAGCCAAAATCTCTCGGGTTGTCTGGCTTCTTCAGAGCATTGTTGCCACATTGATGTAAAAGTTTTACTGTAGTAATGTTTGCATTATTTTATTGTTGTTTTTCCAAGTCCTTAGGTTACCGCTCACTCGTCGGGCATGCATGAAATGCATTGCGTGCATGAATCGATGAAAATCTGATCATGTTTGTTAGTTTAAATACTAACCAAATGAGATTTGGCAACATCTATTTGTCACAAATCTCAATATGTCAAAAATAGTTCTATAGTGCCTGGAAATTCTGCGCAATGATAGATATTTATCCTATACCGTTTTATTTTGCAACAAAGACTTATTTAAGGAATTCATTTATAATAAAATGGTTGTATTATAATTCGCCATGTTTAAGGCAGAATATTTGTATGGCCTATGGCCGCCATTATATGAAGCAAAATTAAAAACATCAAAATAAATTGTAAAATGTTATTTTAGAGAACTATTTTGTGATAAGATTCCCACATACAGTAATAAACTGTTTAATTAAATTAAAAACAAGAATTTTTGAAAATTTTATTGTATTTTATTGTTTAAATTTATACGTAAACCTTAATCGAAATTAAAGCGCTTTAATTTTTTGCCAAATACATACCTATAATCTACCAGTAAAATTTTCGGCGCATCAAAAATTGTCCCTACTTTTCAAACCC